ACAGATGCTAATTCTCAAAGTCAGTATTTTGCGATGCATTGTGGTCTAAATATATTCATGCATTTTTTTTTATTTTAGTCTAACCAGTGTTCATGTCTACCTATGTTTCAGATGATAAATCATTTTAGACTGAGCTAAACTTGTGAGGGTTTGTGTTTTCTTTTAATTAGTTTCCATTCTGTGTTCATTTTCCCTGTGTCTGTGCTACCTGTTCCTCCCCAGCCCCTTCCACTCCTGTTTGAGCTTCTCACAGGYGTTTGTCATTTCATTTCATTAGTGTCTTCATGTATTGAGTTTGTTTGAGTTTGTTAAGTCTGTTAAATCCTGCAGGAAATCTCATTCATTTACTCTGGCTTTTAATTCATGTTTGGTTTGAGTTACATCAGAAATTTGGAATTGTATCCTTTATCAGTTTTAGGCCTTTTATTCTACTCGTGGTTTTAAATGCATTGTATGTTTTTTCCTCCATGTGAAACACTTTAGTCAACACTTAAATGTGCTATATAAATAAAATGGTTGATATCCTGTGTAGTCTTTGTATCAGTAGGGCAGTTCTGCATTGAGTACTGTAAGTACCAGTCTTGGTTTCCCCAGAAGTGTTTGGCTGCCCTGTTAGTGATTTATTTTGATTAAAACATCTTCCAGACTGTCATAGAAAAAGAGTGTCTTCAGTCATGGGCTTCTTCAATTTCCTTGTAATACAGACTGCTACAGACACAGCCATCACCATCTATGATAACGCTTTAGTTAAATGAGTTACAACATCTAAATTCCCTCTGGGATCAATAAAGTATTTTTGAATTTAATTGTATTTTTGACTCAAGTTCCTTGTATGTTCTGTGTGCAACTTGGATTTGAAAAACAGCCTTAAAACCTTGACAAAATGATGCTAAAGTCACAAGTAAAGTCTCTTATTACCTTGTCTGCACATTATTAACGTAAAACATATAAAATCTGACATTAGATCTCATGAAGCTAATCGGCTTCTTTCTTTCCTGTGAGACAAAATTAAAACAGCTTCACCCCTTTAAATCTTTCTCTGTGTCTCCATACGTTCACCTTGTCATGTCCTGATTGTTGTGGGAACATTCAGCCGCCCCAGCTTATCATTTTAATGCACGATGTTGGTTTTCTCATGGCGAGAAGCCATTTTAATCAACCAGATCCTACTGAGAGAGCTCCAGCCGCAACCGAGCAGTTCACCTCAGCAACCTCAAAGCAGCGGCTAGTAATTCAGTAATATCGTGTAGCAGTCCAACAGCTTTAGCTGTAACATACCCACTGAAAGCACTAACCTCTTACAGCCCCCCCACAAGGTTATATTACAACCCAGCAGGAGCTCAAAAACAGAGGACAGGACGGGAAGAAACGAGTGGAAGTTCTCAAGATGAGCTGGCGTGTTCCCAGGCTACGGTGGTTGGGAGGCCTTCTCCCAGCATGCTGCACTCCTTGTAGATAGATTAAAATTAAAATGAGTTGCTCAAGTATCTGGTTTATGTTGGCCCATTTTCTTCAGCTACCATCACCTCAGCTTTTGAAAGCACATTCTTTACGAACCCTCGAGGCAATTTGTGGGTTTTTCCAGTGTGTGTTTTCTAGGATACACGGTGTAGGCAGCGCTATTCAAATCAAAACTGTCTTTGTGGTACACAATTACACTGCATGGCAGAGCTGTGTGTAYGAAGAGATAAATATTTCTTGACAAAATAATAATAAAAATGGAAAGAAGGCTACTTTTATTGTCTCTGTCTGGATATGTAACATGGAAAACACAAAACAAACATATTATTGACAGACACTCTAATTTTTGCCATTTTGCATAGACAATGACCTTATGCTATTCACAGCTAACGTCTTTAACGGAAAAAGCAAAAAAAAAAAAACTTAGAGGGACACGGTGAGTTATCACATTAGTAAAAATGCCAAAAGCTACAGGTATTTCTCTCAAAGCTTTTCTTTGTTTGCATTTGTTTCTTCAACAGCAGAGAAGGTCGTGTTTCATGAATAAATGTTGAGTTCATTTCACTTTTTTCATGCTTCAGTATTCCTAAGTTGAAACCGATTATTATAAAATTATTATGAATAAAGTTTAATATAAATGTAACAAATAGCTAATTTCTGTAAAACTGTGAGTATTTTTTTTAGAAATAAAAATTCTTAAGTGAAGAAAATTTAAACTGTGAATTTTGTCAAATTGTTTAGATTGTTTAGTATTTCAGTATGCGGTCTATACAGGATTGCAGTTTGGGGACGTTGGGAGGGAACAACATTAGTCAAGGCAACCTCTGACCTGTTTTGGGKGGTTTTGTTTTGGCTTGTTTAAAAAAGACGACCGCATCAGCCAGCGCTTCTTATTACCCTTTCAGTCAGGCGGCTACCAAACAAACAGCTTCAACGCTCCTCGAGCTCTTCATTTGGCCCCTGGCATCGTACAAAAGGAGACACTTTCTTTAGAAAGCTGCACCCCTAAAGAGAGACGAGCACAGGAACACTTATCAGGGACCTGATGTATTAAAAGTAAATGGTCTGATCTCTGCAAATCCTCACAAACTGCCAAGCTGCTTTGACTGGCTGTTTTATTGGGTGCCAAGTGTAAAAAWTTTTTTTAAATATCACAAATATTTTCATTATTTTGCTCACTATCATTTTCCACTAACATTTTATTGTTACTTTTTTCAATTAACGCATTTTGAATTTAGATTTTAAAAACACTTTTCCAGAGTTAGAAGCAGTTCATGTTCGCTCACTATGATGATGTCATCATCCTGTGACAAATGTTAATGCTAGCTGCTGCTAACACTTCTAACGCTGCTGAAGATAGTATTTAAAATCTAAATTCAAAATGTCTTAATAGAAAACAACATGGATGGTAACTGTGTTCTGGCAGTTTGAAGTGAAGCTCGGACGCCAGCCGCAACAGTAAGTTTGATGTCTTGTAGGGACCCGTTAGCAGGATTGAAGTGTTAGCGGTTGCTTTTGTCTCAGGTTAATGACATCCTAACAAGAGCCGAGCACCAACAGTAACTTATACATTTAGATTTACACATTTTGAATAGGATTTACATATATTTTCTTAACATTCATTAAAAATCAGCTAAATAACACTAAAATGTTAGTGGAAATCTTTAACACTCAAAGTGAGCTAAATATGTATTAGTTACATTTTTTAAACATTTTATTTTACACTTGGCATCTCATACTGGTTGTGCTAATTTTCAGTCCTACATTACCCAAAGTCTTCTTCACCTTTATGTAACCAAGAGTTAATAACGTCTAAAGTGTACGTCCAAGAATGTTTCATTCAACCTCAAAGCTACGCATCATTAGCAAACGTTAAGCACCAGACAAACAAGGCGGTAAGCTATACAGTTTACCCCTCAGCTCACTGATAAATCTTGTSCACAGAGGTTAAATGTCTGTTTTTCCATAGTGGGTGATCCACGGCAACAGGAGGCAAACAAGTTGCAGATGTGGAAAAGGAAATAAGCAGCTGTTTGACCACAAATGAGAAGCATTTTTCTCAATAAGGAGAAAAGAACCGTGCCCTGTCTCAGTTTTTCTGCCCGGCCGGAGAAGGTTCACACAGAGGTTGCTCAGGCCAGGGGACGGCCCGTGCCCGCAGCAGCTCGACGCCCACTCAGGGCTGACTCAGATCCAGAGGGTGGCGAGGGTACAGTGCACACAAACAGGCATTTTACACAGACTGAGTAAAGTTTCTGTCTGAGGCGCTGCACCGAGGGGCTCAGCTGTGATTTATAAGCTGCTTTTGACAAGGTGGTAACCTGCACAATTTGCTATGTTTTCTTACAGGACCGGAGACATCCTGAAAACTGGCTGCATGTTCATGAATTAGCTCCAAAWATAGCACTTTTATCAGGAGTTAGGTGCCACTTGTGAACTTCATGTTGACACAGTTTATCTTCATGTTGAACCGTCTCCTGAAAAACATTATAAAATCCTTTTAAAATTGTCTCATTTCAAAAACATAACTATGACAAATTTCAAAATAAGACTTTATTTCCACTCGTATTAAAGGGATCCACCAACAAATKAAAACAACCCAAAACTTTGTGAATCTATTATTTTGAATTCTTGGTTAACTCTTGCCTTAAYTGTTGCACTTTCTTTCTGTTTGGTTTGGAAATGTGATTATTCATAATCTAAGTGCCTAGTTAAACTATCTGAAACAACAGCAGAGTTACGACATCCAACCAGTGACTTATCAGTGACTGATGAGTGAACGATTGTTAACAAGACATCATTAAGGTTATGAACCGTTGCAAAGTCCTTACAGAGATTGATTAGTTAACAAACCCTGAGCTGGACATGAGCTGGTAAAACTAACCCCCGTGTTACTTCCTTCTAGCAACAATTACATTATTTTTTGTTTTTACTTTTTCTTTTTATTGGTAGAGTCTTCTCTTTCTAAAGAAAGCCCAAATAAACTGTGCCCTGATCTTTAACAACTTAAGGCGCTGGAAGTCCTGAAAAAAATAAGAGTTCAGATGCATACAGTATTTCATGACAAGTGACACGCTTGCCTTAGTGGTGACAGCGCTGGAGTCTGATGGGGCTTTGCATGTGACGAGAATAGTCGACGGCCAGCTCTGTTTCCCAGCAGCACTGTGGAGATCCCTGCAAAGGCTTGCAGGAGGTGAGTGATGTGCAGCAGTGATTGGTCTCACCACTTCCTATTGTTCCCCTGTTGCTGATAACCCCAGTGACCTGGGCCAAAGGAAGGAAGGCCATCGTTTGGTTTGTGGTGGTGGGGCATGTCAGCTCTTTGTCCCTTTAATAACTTATTAACCCGCCGAGACTTCCAGGAGAAGAGGGATTTCTCACACAGCTAGACAGATGGTAAACACAGAGTAAACACGTTATCAAGCTTCTCTCTGAGAAGAGGAGGAGGTTACTAGGTGATGTATTCTCACTGACGAATGATCACAAACCTGCTAAGGCAAAATAAACCACTTCTATGTTTTCACTCCTCTCTTTTTTAGATGATGACATGACGAAAATAAAGCATGGATCTTATTTTTCCACCWGACGAAAACACAAAACTGGAAAATTAGAGAATGAGCTCCTGTGATGCWACTAACAATACATCTTTTAAGGTAAAGATCCATTTTATTCTTTCTCACTCGCACTAAATGCTACACCCACTTGTTTGTTTTTTTTACACATAGCTTGGCTTACAACATATTCACTGGTCTCCATGAACTGACCTTTAGCTCCACAGCGGTTCATCACTCTGGTCCAGAAATGTGTTAATGCTGCTGTAGCACCGGAGGGGATTTTTGATGCTGGTGGAACTGGTTCTAAGTGAGTTCTGGCCCTGGTTTGGTGAGATATAGCTCTATATAGAGAGAGATTTGAGACTTATGTTGGACAAGGCAGATGCCTGATCACAAATCTAAGCACAATCCTATATATATA